AGAGTGTGACTGGCCCAAGGTCACCCATCGAGCTTCCATGTCATAAATGAGGAGTTGAGCTCGGGTCTCCCAGTTACTAGTCCAACACTCTTAACCACTACATCACACTGGCTCTCAACTTCCATTCTCCTTTTGTTTTCTGTTTTTTTTAGAGCTAAGGGACAAAATTCTTTGCATGTATAAATCAATTAATCTCTGTATCTTTTTCTGAAGACACAAAGAGACTGGAGGCTGCCAAAGAAAAACTTTTTGTAAAATACAGCATGTCTACACACCACAATACTACTTTCATGGTCTTCACCAAATCATGCACACTGATACAACAACTAGTCAACTGATGCTGAAAGTCTGGGGAGGTGGTTAGAGATCGTCAATAATTTTTTAATAACATTGCACAAGTAATACCATCACTTTCCACATATTCTGAGGGCCTAATCACTGAAGTGATGGCCATGCACATTCATAGCAGTAACTGAATGAGCACTGGTTCTGAATCTGGGACTAGCTTGAACTGAGATTCATGGTGTACTTTGTTCTTCAATTAGCCCACCAGACTATCAGTTGATCAACTGTGCAGTGAAGTCACACTCTCTTTAGCAAAGCTTTAGAGCTTGCAAATTCAACATTCAGTCTCCCTTATTACAGACACTTTGAACCAAAGAAACTGTACTTTGATATGTATCTTACCACTCCATTGAGCAAAGCTAGAAGCCTTCATCTAGTCTAAGAAGGCTTCCATCAACTTCAGTGACTCTTCATCCAAGGGAAACGAACCTTAGGTTGAAGGAAGGCTTCTTTGGCTAGAGGACAGACATGCCAATGATCTGGGAAGGAATTATCTATTCTAGTTTAAAGCTATTAGCAATCAATGTGTGAACAGAATTGATGACATTCTTCAGTAACAGCCTGAAAACTGAAAACACACTTCAGGCAACACATTGTGAAACAATTACTTTAAAGGTTCAAGAAATCAAATTGCCCATCACCTGTTCCTGACCCATTCATTTCCCAGAATTCTAATGCATCATACCTAAAGGTCCTAGCAGAAGCCCTGCATAACACAGGATTAAAGAGATTATCTGAGGGCATTTATAAGGCTGCTGAAGGAAGTTGTTTGATAATGATTGCTGAGTACCTTGGTGACAGACAGTCTGGTCAAACATAGCCCTTCTCTCAACCTGGAGCTCACCGCTGATCCTGTTGATGACCCATGGGCCACACCATGTTGCTTTGCTTGGAAATGTCCAAAGGAACTAGAAAGAAACAAGACAGTGAAGTTACATGGAAGAGAAAGCTGGTTTACTCAGGCCCACAGCTTTCATCACTTCTTTGGAGCCCGCAAAGGATGGACTGGAGAGACTGAGAATATCTACAAGGGCACGCATAAGCTTTGAGGCAGCTCAGGCCAGCAGCATACTTTTAAGGTCTTGCATTACAAGAGAAACCTGAATTAATGAAAGGCATGCTTACACTAGCTGTTTATTGCAAGCCATTCGGAATGTCTTTTAGATCCGCTCTGGCAGAACTGCACTGTGCTGCTGAACTGTGAGCCAATTCACATGACCATCACTAGCCATCCATGTGCAGCATTAGATTTCTTAAAAATCATTGCAACCCCTTCAAAACCACTTGCAATGGTGTCAAAAATGTTAATTGGTTGGTCATATCCAAGTGGTTGGTCATACCCAAGAAGCTGGCATGAGTAACATATACAATGGTTATGACAACTGGCTTTTCATCTTTTTCTCTGAGCACTGGCTATTCTTAATTTTCCTGACTGTGCAATGCAATACAATAAACAAGCAAAAATATAAGTACAACCATAATATGAGAAGAGGAAGTGAAGAAGGATAGGGAGATGATTTCTCTTAGTCACCCTTATCCATCACCTGACTTCCTGACTCCATGGAGGCCGCTCTGGACACAGCCAATGGAGTTCCTCTACTTAAGATGTGGAAGATGGCCGATTATGTGAATTAATGGTCATTTATAGACCAATTATGTAAGCTGCCCTGAGCCCGCTCACGGGGAAGGCGGGGTATAAATTAAATAAATAAATAAATCTTCCCAATCTAGGAAGTGACATCATGTCGGGGGGGGGGGGCAAAACAGTTTTGAGGCAAATTCAATTCCATTGAGCTTCGTGTTGTTTCTCATTTCAATAACCATGGTTTATTCCAGGATGGTAATTTTGAAGAAAATAAAATATCCCTGAGGTTTGCAGAGAGAATTTTGCCAGCCAAATTCAGAAGGCTTTTGCATCTGTTTAGAGAAGAGGTTAAGGACTGGCTTGCTCCCAGTATAAACACTGAATTGTAACAAGAGAGTGATAACTTTGAAGACAATAGGAATACGCTTGAGGAAAACTTTGACTAAACGAGCTTACATTCGGGTGCTCATAGTAGCATCATGAGGATGTAACATCATGAGGATGGACTTCTCTTTGTAATATTGTAAGGATGTAATTCTTTATAATGTCACATAATAAGATTTATATATTGATTGTAAAATGTTTTACTAAATGTGTTAGCCAGCATATCACAGTGTTTATTTCTGGCACGAACCACCAGTAATTTTTCGCTGATCTAAGGCATTTCCAGCAGCAGAACAGGACTTGCCCACCTTCATCCTCCCACTGTAGCTGGAAATACCCCTCAGACAGGAGACTCCCCCCTGGAACAGCATGAGGAAGGAGTTGGATGACTGCACTGGGAGGGATGACTCCTTGAAAAATGCTCTCCCTCCCCCTTCCATTTGTGGAATCCTCTGGATCCAATCCATATCTAGACGTGGTCACACAGTTTTGTATGCAGATTTCCATGACAATAGTGTATAGGATAGTAGTACAGAGACTGAGAAAGGAAATTCTTCTGCTTGTTTTGTTTCTTAAATTGTCAGGTGTAGAGCCCTTTTAAAATTTTTGGTCCATCAATGTTTCATAGCAAGCCAAAATACCCAGACTGGTTCCCTATTGGACTCATTTGAGCCATGGCATTAATAAAAGTCCTCTTTTCTTATCAGTTGGACCTACCTAACAGAACCTCCTTGGTATAAAAAGAATCCCTGTTTTAGGAAGGCTATAAGAGAGACTGTCTATAACATCTTTTTGCTGCCTAATGCCTGAGCCATTAGGAGAGCATGGCAGTTTCTAAATCACTAATTCAAGGGATATCCTTATTGCTGACCTCATTGACACCTTTCTAGAAAGCCAAGCATACCCGGGCCATATACCAAGCTGAGGCAGCAGCTACGTGGGCTCAGGCATCTTTTATAAATAACTATATAAAGAGGTGATAAAGATCAGTGAGGTCATTTATAGTGTTTACCCAACTCAAAGTGGTGGTGTACGGAAGCTGTGGTACCTCAGATGTTGGCAACGCTACAGTCAGTCCCTGACTTCTGTTTATGTTGATGTGCCCCCTTGGGTCATGGACCTAATCTCAACATGATAGGTTCCCCATAAAATCCACGCACACACCCAAGGCTAGCAGTGATATAATTTTTACTAGAGCTGGCAGTGTGGAAAGGGTACTGGTGTTGATGGTAAACAAATACGGCTGCTGGCACTGAGAAAAGGCAGCCTCCGTGGGACTGCTCCCTCAGGAACGCCAAGGACTGTTTGGATTTCTTTACCCAGCAGGGGTTAGGAATTGAACATTCTGCTGAAAGTTTACTTCAGTGCCTCTCCTGTTTTACACCTGTGCTTCTACAATATGGAAACTCTCTCACACCTTTTAACAAGTGTGCAGACAGCCATGTTATCAGGTTTGGATGTTACCATAAAGTTACAGAGTGCTTTGGATATACAGTTGTTTAAATTGACATGGTTTTCTGCAATTGTGCTATTGGCAGTCAGCATCTACCTAATCTCATTGTCCTGGGATTATTAAGGCCACAGGAGTTCTGTTCCACTTGAGAGACTGGCATGGTTAGAGTCAGGGTAGTGCTAACACTCAGGTATACAGCATCTGTTTGTATGCAGAAGACCTCAAGCTCCACCCCCAGCATCTCACAGTTTTAAAAAAAGAATCAGGTAGAAGATAATGTGGAAGACTTCTGGCTGAGATACTGGAGAGCTGGTGCCAGTCAAACAATGCTAACCTTGACAGATTAATGGCCCAACTCAGCATAAGCCTTCACATGTTCATGTGTCTGAGTCAGACTTATGGCAGAATTAGATGTTATAAGAACACATGGATGGAACTCCAAACAGCAGCAGTATTTAAACTCTCCTCTGCTTCCATAGCATTTAGCATGTATAAGATAAACTGTGTCTTTTTTTTCTGGCCTCTGCTCCTGGCCTAGGGACTGGAGGTGGGGGGGGAGGAGAGAAACAGCATACTACTCACTGATGCGACGATCGCTGTTTGATGGCAGATGCATGTTACTGTAATAAGTAGCTCTGCCTTCGTATAGGCAATGATGCTGATCTTCCGCACCATTAGCATCAGGGAGACAGAATGTCTCTTATGCTGTGTTCAGATGTTGCCAACAAACCAGGATTTATTGGTTATAAGACTGAGTGTCTGACATTCTTAGGATCAGGCACTCTTCCCCACTCCCTCCTCTGCTTGAATGAGGTGTGAATATTACAGACTACCTGGGTTCCTGAAAAATTGCAGTTGTGATATCTGAAATGACAAACTGTGGTTTGTTTTCTTGCCGACAGTCTAGGATTCCAAACCAAGATCAAATAATTGGCTTCAGTAGGCCAATTTCTCCACACACCCCTCTGTTTCCATTTTCTTTTCTTTTAACCTAGAGGAATAAGCACACTCAGGTCCTCACCAGCATAATATTTTTTTTAAAAAAATTAAATTTACAAGGCAATGTTTCTCTGAAGTTGACAATCCTGGAGTACTTTATGAAAAAATGGTCTTAAAGAAGCTCATGAAGCAGTGACATGACAAGCAGGAACCTAAGCAAACAATGGAGGATGGAAATGTGGGACTGAAGAAAGAGCAAAGTAATGTAACTCCAGGGCTTCGCCCCACTGGACAACAGAGAATAGGCAAGTAAAATAACTGTAAAGTCTAGACCTTGACAAGGGGATTCTGTCAACTGTGGCTACTGCAGCCCTGAGCCCTGGCAACCCTGAGGTTCAGAAAGCAGAGGTGGTGGGGAGGAGAGAAGGGCAGAGTTTCAACTATGTTGATTTGAACTAACCAACCAACTCCTTCAATGCTTGTGAGTTTCTTCCTTACATTTATACAAATGAATGAAAGTTGTTGCTGTTTTTAAAGAAAATGTCACCATGAATAAAATTTTAGCTAAAAAGGATCTTGGGCTGGCATCCAAAGAGTTGCCAAGAACTGGGCAGACTTGTGGGATTTTTAATTCTTCACAGGAAACTCCTCACCCCACCCCCCACCCCGATGCTGCATCACATATCAAACTCCCTTCAGTTTCAAAAGCAGTTTTGTGCAACAGGCTGTTGTTTGTGAAACATCAGCCCAATTACTTCTCAAGGATGCACCTAACAGACCATGGTGTTGGATATACTTTAATGATAGCATGCTGATGCTCCTACTATGGTAAAAAGGTAAAGGTAAAGGTTCCCTTGCGCGAAAGCCAGTCGAATCCGAATCTAGGGTTGCAGTGCTCATCTCCGTTTCAAAGTCGAAGAGCCAGCGCTGTCCGAAGACGTTTCCGTGGTCATGTGGCTGGCTTGACTAAACACCAAGGCGCACGGAACGCTGTTACCTTCCCACCGAAGTGGTCCCTATTTATCTACTTGCAATTTCTTGCTTTTGAACTGCTAGGTTGGCAGGAGCTGGAACTAGAGACAGGAGCTCACTCCGTCATGCAGGCACCCGGGTCTCGAACTGCTGAACTACTGACCTTCCACAGCCTGCACTTCAGCGCCTTAACCACTTGAGCCACCGCAGCTCCTCCTACTGTGGTACAAAAATTCGATTTTTTTTCTTTGTGTGTGTTTAATGATATCATCCACATGAGGAAGCTCTGAATGGGTGAAAAACATTCATTTCATGAAGAATAAGATAAATTTGCCCCAGCTACCACTATTTCCTCTGCACTAAGGAGCATTGTCCAAAGTTTTATGGAACAGCTGGATAGAGAATAGGTCCTTACAGGGCCTAAAGGTGTCATCTGTTAGGCTCCTGGCGCAAGTCGTGCACTATGTACTCTCAGACCTGATCATCAAAGGCCCATTTGGGCCACAAACTGGGCATATTCTCCTCAAACCACACACAAGAATGCCGCTAGATGAAAAGAGAGAAGTTAAAGGCTA